AAACCAAAACAAAACCTAAAATAAGTTAAATTTTACCAGAGAAAATTGTCTAACTTCTATTAAATGTATTCTATATAAAATATGTCCTTTTGGTGTACTTGTAATTCATCCTCATGAAGGAAAACCTTCTTTGATTCTTTTTCTGTCTATTTCCTCTTGGAATTGCTTCATTTTGAAACTGGTCCAGCATTGAACGAAGTCGAAAAAAGTGAGTAAGACTATGATTATTTCTGCAGACCTCTAAACTCCAAGCTCATAATCTCACATCACACCGATGCCAGTGTCTTTCTCTGCATGTGTGTCGGGGGCATGTGTGAGATCTTGAAGAAGGCCTGAGGAAGGAGAGTGTCTGACTTCGTAATATAAGAGTGCCTCGCCCCAGAGACTCCCCCTTGACAAGCTTATGACGCACTTCCTGTCAAGGTGGTAGGAGGCTGCGTATGAGGATAGGAGGAGGAGGTGGGGGGCGGTGTTGGTGAGGACCAGCTAAATATATACCAGCTGTGATGATAGTGCTAAAGGCTGGTATGTGCAACCAATCATGCTTCCTGACTCGTGAAGGAGGAGGGGCCTGCTGCTGTTTCTCAAGCCAACCACCGCTGATACAGAGCCTCTTGTGGGGGGGGGGGCTGTTACCCACAATTCTTGTAGAAGTGTGATGTATAGAACAGGATCATTTAAGGTCTTGAATACCATGAAGCCATGCTGTATTCTGCATATCTATGTACAGCTTTGTGAACACGCCCATTGTCGTGTTACTCAGAGATCCTTCTCTGAGCACCATGGACAGCTCACGTGTGAGTGTGTGTGACCGCAGAAAGCAAGAAAGGCTGCATAAAGTTACCATAATACAAAGATATTTCTCAGTTATTTTTAATGAGGCAATTCTTAAAAATGCTAATGCGTTCCTCAGAAATGTTAAATAATTCATAAGGTTTGGAAAAGGACAGAGTAATGCAGCAGTAAATGCTTTGATAATCTGAGGGTAATAATTCTTATCATTAATTCAGTCATAACTAAAGTAATCCTCATGTGTCCTGCTTGATAGGTTGATATCCTTCCTGAAGACATATACTTTCTCATCATACCGTAACGCACTCAAAGGTGCTGGAGGCACATTGTGCAAATCAGGATCTTATTTATGAGCAGAATAGGCTCCCAGGGGCCAGAGCACAACATGAGCACAGCCCCAGAGTCATTAAAGAGAGATTTTGGCATCCTCTTCCACTCCTCTCGCACACACCCCCTCTGCTCCCTTGAGACTGGAGGAGCACCTGCCCCCTTCCCAAATTGAACAGCCATTTAAGATGCTGAACATATGCGCACGCATTCTCTTAATTTAGCTTCCATGCTGTCAGATGCACACGCCCACATGCTATATTTATATCCATGATGCATGTGAAAACTTTAAAACCCAGGAGAACATTTACAGAGCCGCCGGATGACGTGTTTCTGCAAAGAGACTGCATCAATACGCAGACACTGAGACTGATGCTACCTTGATTTATTTTTCACCTTTTCTGTGGGGAGAGGCAGTGGCAGGTTTTTTGTATTAGGGGGATTGATTGTCACAAAGGGTTATGGGTCACCTCTCTCACTTGCTCCGGGACAGGATGACGGTTCTGGCTGGTTGACTGTGAGAAAATAACATTTAGGGGTGGCTGGTGACACGTTTATTGAGCCTGTCAAATTAACAAAAGCAATGAGCTGAGCAGGGACAAGAGTCACAATAACACACACACACAAACACACACAAACACACACACACACACACACACACACACACACACACACACACAGCATGTTTTTCATATAACCTGATCCAGAAGTCGGGCATCTATCAAGCACTGATCTCTGTGTCACCTTGGGCTTTGCAGAGCTCCTGCGGAGTTGTTTGACGTCAGTGGTGTTGTGGTCTGAATTTGACTTCACCAATACAGCTCTACCAAGTGCAGGATCCCATACAAAATTACTTTAAAAATAGACATCACATTACATGCTAGACACTTTTATCCAAAGCGACGTACATACTCAATACTGTGGGCAATCCCCACAGGAGCACTTTGGGGTGAAGTGTCTAGCCCAGGGACACAACGACATGCTGACTGCAGTGGGGTTTGAACCTGTGCTCTAATCCACTGCGCCACACGCCTCCCTAGACATCTCGGTTAAAATACATAGAAAATACAAGAGCAGTTGCGTAGATACACGTCATTACATAGACTTCAAAGTTCACACTAAAGCAGAGTTAGACTTGGATGTGAATTTATATCACCATTAATTGAATGTTTATGAAGATATACCAATAGCCATTTTACAATTATTTATAGATCATTTACAGACATGTTTTAAGACCAAAGATAATCTCCTTAATAACAATATATGTCTGAGTGGAGGCTGTGACAAAAGCCTAATTTTGCTTTTGGATTTACTTTGTAAAGACTAGATTCGACATCATTTGTAGGTAGTGTTGCTAACAGTTTGATGTTTGTTTACAAAAATGTCTGTAGAATACAAAGACTTGGGTTAAAACTGATAAATCTAATGTTATTCCATGATATGATTGTTAAAGTCTATTTTTATTGTTATAGTTATACATATTCTTTTTTAAAAATGCATTTATCTGGTTTTACAAATCACTCTTGCTTGTAAAAAGCATAACTAATCCAGTGGTGAATCTCAACGACAGAAACAGAGACAGTTTATCTGTGATCAGGCTCAGGTGTACTGTTGTGTTTCGTTGAATGTATCTCGTCCGATGATCATCTGTGAGGACTGAAGCTTTGTTGGTGGAGGTGGGGATCGGCTCCTAAATCGAAATAACACCTTCAAATAGCTCAATAAGTGCTCCTCCTCCCTCTCATCTCCATTAAGAGATTAGAGTAGTCGATAGGTCCAGCCGAACACAAGGGACTGGCCCTATTGATTTCACCACTGTGGAAGAAGGGCAGCCATTAACTGAGCACTTCCTGTGGCTTTGGAGGAGCACTCACTCTACTGCCAACCCCTCTGTACCCACTGATCTCATGTAAAGTCCATTACTTCAACATCAGTAGAACTAAGGCTTATGGGTCTATAATTGTGTATTGATTATTGAGCGATGAGAACTGTATAAGAATATAAATATGGTGTTTCTTGTAAATGTGATTTCTCAGGAAGGGCTGCAGAAATGTTTTCAAGTTTGACACTAATTTCCGAGTGGACTAAGGGATGAACTGATTTGAATTTGCTCGACAAAGGTCAAAGGTCACTGTGACCTAACCCTTGACCTGGCCCTTTTGGCCATTATTGACACATTCTTACAATTTGTACACCAATGTAATATTTTGGGAAGACATGAATGATACTGTAACTTTCAAACTGCTCAGTTAAAACTAATTTTCTTTATGGTGGGTTTGTACTGGTAAATGAAGCATTATGTTTTGTTGTCAAGCTTAAAGACACAAAACAGAATAGAAATAAATGTAGTTTTTTTTTTTGCCCTCGCTCATTCGATGACTGTAGGTTTTCTGTCCAATGACAGTGATCATAGTGTAGCATTAAGCACCATACAAGAAATACTGTTTTTCCCTTTAGGAATTAGGAAAGAGACCAAACACAGAGCTGAAAGAGAGTGACCATTGAACAAATCATTTTACTTTACTTGTCTTTGGTATCAACACAAATACTCAGGACACACAGATTTGTTTGCTTTTTTATCAAAAAAGGATATAGAGTATTTCATTTGGACACCAACAAACCTCTCCATTTACACAGCAACAGAAGCCATAGAATCACACTGTAACTTCAGAGGCACAAAACAGGAAACGTTTAACTACTTCAGGTTGCACAATCTTCATTGGTGAAAAATGTGGAATCACCTGTTTAGGTTTCATCCTTAATGTCGATAAATATTCTGACAATGAACTCAGGGTGGAGGTACGTGTGGTTAAGTAGGGGGGTCCAGACACTAATTGGAGAACATTCATCAAACTTAAAAGTGAGGAGGGAGAGAGAGAGAGAGAGAGAGAGAGAGAGAGAGAGAGAGAGAGAGAGAGGAAACTACAGGACACAATGGACCACGCCAAAACAATAACAAAAACATGAAGAAGAGCGTCTGCCTCTTAGACAGAGCTCTTTTTATCATTCTCATCTGGTGAGCAGCCCTGTCACAAACTCTTTGAAATTCCTTGATGTCAAAGATGTTTGTGTTGGACTCTATTAGTATATTTTTTACATTACGTTTTTTTCTTTACAAGTGTAACAAATCACAAGTGTAACAAATCACAAAAAACACGACTCAAACAAATGCATAAAAAACGATTACATAATGACTGTTCATGATGTTTTGACCAGAACTGTTACTATGGATTTATTGCTTTGTACACTGAGTAATGTTGTTGTGCCACCTGCACACTTATGGTCCACACGCTGGAACCTCGACGCTGATGGTCTGTACCCCCTTAAAAAAAACTTCCAGCTAAAACCCAGCTCTGCTATTCCCCTTTGGTTGATTGTGCAAAGAAATTGAAGCATCAGTAACAGTTTCTGAGACAAAGACAAATACGTTTGAAAGAAAGAAAAGACAAACTACAAACGTCACGTTGTTCCATGCATAAATTCACATCCACACACATCTATATTGTGAAGTGCTGACTTATGGTCCCCACAGACAAGTGTTACATCAAAAATAAATTGGCCCCCTTCAGACCTGGTCAGTGTAAGTGCAGACTGAGAAACAGATTTGGTGTCAGCTTGTTCTTCCTTTTCAGGAGCCTCAAACACTTTTCATTACCACACTACCATGAAGAAACATCATTACAGTACATTATATATCATATCATGTCTCGTCTCACACCCATGCTGTAATGGAAATTGAAGAATGGCAGTTTGTCCAAATTGCACTCATTTGTGACTCCTGCTGTATTTAGCTATAAAATAAATCTCCTGTTTTGGTAAACGTTAAGCAAAGTATAGATTTATGTAAACATTCAAATACTTTGTTTAGGATTGTTCACCTCAACTTGTATGTCATTTGATATTTTAAACTAGTTTCCCTTTAGTTTTAAAGACCATGAAACATTTCATAGGGACATTACATTTCTGGTAGAGTTAAAACAGTTTTGATTGTTTAACTTTTAGGTAGAGAAATACTTAAACATTAAAATCTCTCTTATCCATTTTATCATATATTTCACATTTATATAAATAATATATGTCTCCTATTCTCATTTACATTATAAGGGTTTGCTCCTCTCATATAGTAAGACTCTCATTCTGATTTTGGATTTTCTTTACTTTCCCAAAATCATTACATTGCACAAACCCTTCACTAAGGCTGTGTATGACTATTAATCTCTTAGTCTAAATGTAATCTAAAAACTCTTATAAATATGTTCTGTCTTCTAGTTATCTCTCTCTCATATATTTTTTATTTAGGACATTCCTTTCAGCATTGGTACGACTAGACTTTTCTGACGTTAAGGTGAGTATAGTTATGAGGATAGCTTTACTCTTGCACTACACTGCTGAGATGTGTCGGGTTGAAGTTGCTAAAATCAAACACTAAACTGCGGAGGTACAAAATGGATCACATGTAGCACACATTGGACAGACACTTTTTTCATTTACCTTATATGCAAGTGTAACCACACGGTCACCATGATGCCACTCAAATCTCAACACTAGTTCACTTACATGTTAAGGACATTTACATACACAGAAGCCGGTGATAAGAAAACAAAAATCATCATATTGTGCATAAAAAGGACACACTACTCTGAGTGCATTCAGGAGAGATACAGTACAATCTACATCAACAGAGTGTCTAGTTTCTGTTTACGACGCTGTGCAGTGACACATCTATACACTGTAATGGCTGGCTTTTAGGACGTTGTATTGTAATTTGATAGATAAGGGTTTGGTTCTGATGAGCAGCTTCTATGTTTCCCTACAGGCTTCACTGAGGACAGCCTCGGCGGATGGGATAAGATTGTTCACACGTACACACAATTGCACTCCAAATAGATATACCTTTTATCAATATGCATAATAATACGTTTACAGACTGCCAATTTCATATGTGTTACATTTCTATTAATCGAATATCTTTTGAATTTTTTACACAATTTAGTTATTTTTACATTAAATTGATACCTATTGTGATTTTTTTTTAATTTGTGCAAACAATACAACAATGGATTGTAGTTTTTTTTCCTTTGTTGATATGTTTTGATGACTAAACTGATGCACACTCAGGAAAATAAGTCTACTCATGTGTCAGTGGATCTATGTTTGGTCTAGGAGTGTCCCTCATCCTTCCTGTATCCGTAGCCTCCTGCCTGAGCTTCTTCCTGGACGTACTCCTCCGTCTTCTCCCAGCCTGAAGCCCAGCCTCCGTTCACCTGCGTGGTGGCACCGTACGACTTAGGCGGACCTCCGAAGGCACCGTAACTCTGAGTGATGTCGCCCGTCTCTTCTGCCAGCTCGTCCTCTTCTATGAAGCCACACTTCTCCTCGCTGGTGAGTTCTGGGTCGGCCCACGGCTGCTTTTCTCCCGACGCAAATATCCCATAGAAGATAACTCCCCCATAATGCACCATGGAGGCGATCAAGAACACAGACTGCCACTCCTCTCGAGACTGAAGAGAGAAAGGAAACAAAATGTAGGTTTTGACCCCTGTCAAGAAAAGTCTGGACATTGTTTGTATTTATTGTATTGCGGCAAAATATAACTAAAACCAACAATAAATCATTGAATCAATCAAAGTGTATTTATATAGCCCAATATCACACATTTACATTTGTCTCAGTGCACTTTACGGTTTGTACAGAATATGAATACGACACCCTCTGTCCTTGGACCCTCACATCGAACAAGGAAAAATTTTTCCGATAAATAAATACAATTAATAAGTATTTTTCCTCAGTGCCAGAGACATTGACACTTTTTGGTGTTTAAAAACACATTGGGTGACCTCATTACCGCCCAACATACTGTGTACCATCCTGCTGCTGCAAGTTCTCACTAGCCCCCTTAATTCATAGCTGAAAAGGTCCCAACAAATGCTTGTCTGCCCAATTCATTGAACTTTATCTCACTGAAGTCTCTGCAAGTTGAAATCTATAGACCATGACTATCAACTATCAGCTGCCTAACGGCCTGTTGAAAAAACCCAGGCGCTCTCCATGGTGCTAAAGTAGCTGACACATTTATCAGAGTCCCGCCCTTCTGTCAGCTTTGAGTTGGATCTATAATACTGTCTTAACGGGGTGTATTAAGATATAGAGAACAAAACTGTTTGAAAACCATTAACTTAATGTTCACTGTATACAGTATACTGCTTATAATGTTTAAAAAAAGGTTGAATTAAGGAGGTACCGACTTATCTGGGATTTGAAGACTTGATGGCCCAAATAAAATGAGAGGGTCTTTATCACTGCCATGTTGTGCGCCTGAATGAAGAAGTCCTTACCTTGTTCTTTGTCATAGTACCAACGATCAAAGGGCACACCATCCCAGACAGGGTGCCCACACCGTTAGAGATGCCCATTAGGATACTGGCATAGCGTGGAGCGATGTCCAGGTGATTGACATTAAAGCCTGATGGAGCAAAAAAACATTAAATTAGAATGTTGATGTACATTTGACCCTTTCTTCAATTGTGACGAGGCCAGACAAACACAAATTGAGGCAAACACTTTGACAGTATGTGTAAAGTTATAAAAGCAACAGAAGCAGCACGACGATATAGATTAAAGTAGAACAAATGGGGACCATCTTGTTGCAGAAATAGGCAGCAACTTGCCACACATCCTCCTCCTCCCCCACTCTGACTGGCTGCATGAGTAAGTGTCCTCGAGATCTGCCTCACCCTGCCTGCTGGCAAGTCCCCCGAGATAGCTAACACTGAATTATTAAACAGTCTAGGAAAAGGCTCGGGAACAACCGGCAAGAAACTGATTTTCCACAGAGTCACAGACCTGAGCGTGAAACGTGAAAAGGTCTGTTGAATGAAAGAGTAAAAAAAGGTCAAATGGTTCATTTTACAAGTTAAAATATGCTACAAACAATATCCGAAATATGAGGATTTAAGGAAGTCTGTTACCATAAGCTCACATGGATAAGCCTCAATACTAGTGTTATTTAAGTGTTGCAAATAACATTTGGAAGAGAACACTCAATAGTACTTGCTTCTGCAACATTATATTTACAAATGACATTCTAATATGTGACACAAACACAATTATATGTAGATTCACATACATTTCAAGAATGTTTGTTTTAATCATTTATAATCCCCACGCTCATAGCTGCATGTCAACCATCCTAGAAATAAAATAAATAAACAACCTTCAATCCTACCATCAATTAACGACATGCTCAACTTCTACATGCTCTCAGTTTACTCTTGAAACTATATCAGGAATATTGGCAGAAATGTACTGATAGTTTAGACTTAATTAAATGTAATTCATTCATTTAGGGAAACATGCTTGTTATTTCTTGCAAAAAGTTAGATGAGAAGATTTAAACTACTGTAATTATTATTATTTGTGTGGTAAATATGAGGCTACAGCCAGGAGACATACAGGATGTATTAAGGCAAATAATTAATAACAATTATTTGATCAACACTTCTGAATGTCCTTGTTCACTTTCTTTACAAAGCATGAAAGGAAACAGTACAATAACACCAACCGTTCTTTTAGTGAGAGGCGACATATCAAATGTGGCTTATTTGTCTTATTTAGACCCTTCTTTTGTGAAAACTATACAAGGCAATAACACATTACATCCAATCAAATGAATCATCATCAGTGATCACATGATACATAAGACTGAAATTGACCAGAGATTGTGTTTCTTTTACTAACCCGATATAGCAAATCCACTGAATCCCACTGCCAGCACCAGGAAGGAGATGGCCACCCCTTTGCTGTGGGAATATCCTACCACCAGCAGAAATGTGGCCTCCATGCCAAATCCTAACAGAGACAGACAGCAGGGCACACACACACACACACACACACACACACACACACACACACACACACACACACACACACACACACACACACACACACACACACACACAAAAAGCCCACAGGCTGTTGGTCATCACAGTGCCAATTGAATTAAGCACGATGCATGGCCTGCACTCAATTACGTAGGTGACAGATATGAAATCAATGCACAGTCACAATCAGTGAGTCGACTAAGTATTGAGCAGATACAAAAATAAAAACAACAATCTCTCTGGCAGTGAAAAGCATCCAAAAGAAAGAGCAGTATGGATCCAACACTATGAAAGTAACACCCTGTACTGTGCAGAGAGAGGTGTGGACAAATGGTATTTCATCCTTGGTTCAGACTTCTCACCTCCACAGTTCATTATTTTCCTGACATTGGTAGTCGACATGATGTTCTTGGCACGTAGGTGGTCGGCCAGCAGGCCGCCGAGAGGCACAATGATGGTCATCACTAAATGGGGCAGGGCAGACACAGCGCCGACCTACAACCACAAGCAGGAAATAAACCAGTTCAGCTGCAGCACGGCGGCAGAAATTCCACGGAAATGTTTCATCATTTAGTGTCATCACTGAGAAGGACCTGTCTGGTTTTTTTACATCTATAAAATCCGGCAAATTGCATTGTGGGAATGTTGCCATGGACACAAAATGTTCTTGTTAGAGTGACTGAATTATTGAGGGCACTCAAAAAGGGGGAAGTGAAGTTCAATATTTGGTCAATAGGTTGAGACTGGCATAATCTTTGAGAGTGAAAACTCAAAACACTTTTATTATTCCCCAAAACAGTGTTTATTGCTCTTTTAGTCTATAAAGATATAAAACCACATATTAAACAAAACATGTGCTATTCCACACATTGCACAGACTCTATTTACACCCTTTGTAACAGTAACATTGGGTTTATTAAATAAGAATCAATATTATTTGGCTGTTTATATTTATTTTCCTATTAAAGGCAAACCACACGCAATTTACAGAAAAAACCTTGGTGTAGAATACTTTGTGATAGCAGTCACTCTAACAATTGTATGCCTATCTCTTGTGAAGCGGTGTTGTTATGTAATGTATCTGTACATAAGAGAGGATCACAGGCCACCAGTTATACTGACATTGATTTTGATGATAAATCATTCCAACAGCAAAGTGTCACATGCTCAGCTCTGAATCGTCTGGCACTGGTGTTGTGTCATTGTTTTGTCACATGGATTTGAAACGATCCTGTATCACTCACTCACAGTCCCTGCTCCGTGTTTAGCATTTGTCCACTGACTTGTACTTTAAGCTCACCTTGCTTATCTCAAAGCCAAACACTTCCTCAAAGTATGCAGGCTGGCTGATCAGCAGCAGGTAAAAGGTCCAGCTCCTGCAGAAGTTAGCCACGATGATTGCATAGACGGGCATGGAGGTGAAGAACTTCTTCCACGGGGTCTTGTATTTCTGGAAAAGATTATAACAAAGATTACATTTTACAAATAAATATACATGATTAATTGTATCTGACAACAAACTAAAGGTGATGTATTCAAACTCTAGATGGTATTTTGTTGGTACTTCTTGTGCCCTTTACAACACATATAGTTGAAAATAAATATTGTTAGGTGGAATAAATTCTTGGTATTCCTTAAATGTAGGTTGTTACCTCAGCGGGACCCGCTAGCTTGTTGCCCTCTCCAATGCTCTCCTCAATGTAGCAGCGTTCCTCATCCGTGATAGTTGGATGAACAGCAGGGCTCTCATAAGACACAAGGACCCAGAAAATATACCAGAACATGCCGAAGCATCCTGTATGTCGCAAACAGATAACATGTCAGAACTTTAAATAATGTACTGCGGCTGATTCTGACCTCAGCGACACACCCAGAAAATGTTAGTCAGTCTGATCTTTCCAACATGCCTGAGAGACACGTAAACTAACTGCATCCAGTCCAGAGAGAAACATGGGGGGTTATTTATTGACACACCAAAACATTGTGGGGGAGAAAATCAATACATTGTCTGCCTGGATAAATCCGTTTCACTTTCACTGGACTGTTTGAGTGTCAAACTCTCAAGCCTAAAACACTTCAGCCACAAATGTTTCCACATAGGCCATAAATACCTTTTTTTCACCATATTCACTTGTGCAACGATACACACAAACACACACACGTATCACACCTATCATCAATCAATCTTACCATATATGTAGAACACAGAGTACCAGCCTGAGTACTGAACCAGGACTCCAGCAAGAGGCATCGCTATCACAGCACCGGCGTATGAGCCTGGCAGAGAGAGAGACAAGGGAGTCAGTCACACTTCTATTTTTACACAATTTGATAATTGCCAATAGGATATGTCAATAAATAACTATTTACCACAGAATGAGAGGGTGGCCAGACGACTCCTTTCCAGCGGAGGAGCCCACTTACTCCAGATGCCATGACATGCTGGGTAGGTCACTCCCTAAACACAACACACAGCAACAGTCTGTGTTTATCAATGGTTAAGAAACATAAAATAAAAATAGAAGCAGACTAAACTATGTGTTCTTTTCCTTATTATGTTAGGCACTCTGTATAACAAAGTCAGTTTTCCAATGCATGTACAGTATTTAATGACATTGGTCAACTCTCCATTTTGGCATTTTGGCTTTTGGTTAAAATAATTATTCAGGTTTGCACAATTCATAAATTGTAGACAGTAGTGTTTTCATAAAGAAAATGATTTTTTATTCCCTTCATGAATAGGAATCACTTTACACATCATTTCCAAACACTATAATGGCATTTTAGTGGTGAACATTCAAGAAGTGTTTCTGCATTTGAGTTTAAGGTGTAGGGACAATCTATGAGGGAATACCCTTTAAGATATGAACATGAACAAACAGGTGTCTGATATACTAACTGACAAAAATTAACATTTCACCTTTGTAATTAACATGAACAAATTGCTACGGTGCCATGAGCAAAGAGGACCTGATTAGCTGTTCATGGAGCAAGGCAGGCCTGCAGCTATTACATGTTCATTAGCCACTCATTTGAACAAACTGTGCTGACGTAAAAAAAGAATATTAGGAGAGCAGTGCATGCGATATCAGATTATTTTATTTTTTACAAATCTGTCACTTAGCCAGGAAGTGCTACTGATGAAGGAATTATTTACTATCAAGAGTTTTACATGATAGGTCCACAACCACTGGAATAAAATGAAAAGCCCTCAGCTAGACATTCCCTGTGTCCTTGATGATGCCCAACAAAAACTCCATCTATACATTTTATTATGTCTGTCATATTTGCATAATAACTGTAGTGTCAGCTTTCTGCATTTTGCACAATAACAGACACATTTTAAGAACATTAACTACACACCAGGCAGATGTTTGGGTCTCATTTTTCACTACAAAGCTAGAGGATTAGTGTAATTTTGCCTTTTAGCATTTTCCTTTGCATTTATCTGTAAACCAGCACTTTGCTGTTGTGTTTCCAGGATACAAGTGTGACAGCAAAATAGAAGGCTAGACAATCCCACAAACACTCAGCTGTTGTGGACTGGATCAATACAGTTGGTCTCACATTTCCTCTGGATGAATATCCTGTGCATGCTACAGCCTTTCACTTGATTTCTCATGGTGTAAGATCTGCAGGAAGCCCCTTTGTATAGTGTATTAGTGCAACATCTCACCTATGGATAACATCACATTATGTAGCTTTCATGATTTATTGATAACGAGAAAAGTGCTGTTTTCTTTACGTGGATACAATAAATAAACATATTTTAATAAATAGAAGAAAGATGTTGTTGTTTCAAATGTTGTAATAAACCTTTAGATGTTGCTCTTACCTCCACCAGCCCTTGTAATATCCTCACAAAGATGACACACCCATAGTGGACTCGAGCAGCCGAGGGAATTAACATGTTGAGAATCGAGGTAAGCACAATGGCTGCACCAAATACCCTGAAAATGATCACATATATTGTAAGTACAGCATTTGATATAAAGCAGCTTATTCCAGCAATGTGCCATGTTGACAAAGAGAAGAGCATTGAAATATCACATTAGATGAAAAATACCTTTTTTTATTTTGAAAGGTAAATATAAAAGATAACTATATCGTCTGCCTTGTACCAAAGCCAAGAATGGCCTTGCTTGCTAGAGATCAGGAGGGCCATGCCAGCACGCATAAATGGTATCTTAAAAACTGTAGCAACTGAATTAAAATATATGTCAGATCACCATAAAAGAGCCCTTAGTACGCATCAGACTGTACTTCAATCAAGGTCAAACAAAAGCAGACATTTGATTGTGTAATTCGGTAAGTGGAAACCATTTGGATCAGGAAAATACTTTTATTTTTAAACCTAAAGATACCTTAATTCCGGGTTAACATACATGGGTTACCCTTAAATGTTTGACACTGTAGGCTATAGCCGGCAGTATTTAACCCACAGAAATGGTTAACCCTAGTTAGCCGAAAGCAGAGATTTCAAGGCCTTTGTGTGCTTATTAGGCCTACAATTACATTTTGCTGAAATACACTGAAATGTAGATGTCCAAAAACAAAAATTCTACTCAGATGGGGGTCTATATTCTGATATCAATCTTGCATCAATAGATGCCCAGCCCAAAAGGCACTCAGAAGGCAGAACATGTCCATATACTGTGAGACTAAATATACAAATTACAGAAGAAAAAGGAATACTAGGCCTATTTTCTGTATGCCTTCACAGCTAGCCTAATTGCCATGCATCAAATAAACACATGGATATTATTTGTGTATAATTGCCTATCAGGCCTATTTGTCTATTCTTTCAAGCTTTATAAATAAAACAAGCCAATGCTTTGCCTCTTAGACAACCTGCTTTCAGATATGGTCACGGAGCTTAACCCTCCTATTGTCTTCGGTTTCCCCCCCCCTTACTTTGGTGTTCGCGCTCAAATTTGACCGGTCCTGTTTTAACTGATATTAAATTAACACAAAAACCATTAATCATCACCACATTTCATTTAACACCCTTTCAAACTGTAAATATTGTATCAGACTACTGGTATACATGAAAAACTGCAGTAAATATACAAAGAATAGACACTGAACATGTATTGCGTGTGCCAGGTGTGATCCATGTGGGGGGATGGGCACATAAGAGCGGGACAATTATGTAACTTTTTCATCTTTTTTTTAGCACATTGTTTATTATTTATAACTTAGTACTTTTTTAGCATATTGTTTATTATATTATAACTTAGTACTTTTTTAAAGCATGTAAGATATGCAACACTAAGCTGTCTGTGGCTCTTTCCTGCTGTAACGCTGCGAATTTCCCCTCTGTGGGACTAATAAAGGTATTCTGATTCTGATTCTGACATGTGTCAAATTGTGTCACATAAGGGGGACACACACACATTTAGAGTAGGCTGTGTGTGTGTGTGTGTGTGTGTGTGTGTGTGTGTGTGTGTGTGTGTGTGTGTGTGTGTGTGTGTGTGTGTGTGTGTGTGTGTGTGTGTGTGTGTGTGTGTGTGTGTGTGTGTGTGTGTGTGTGTGTGTGTGTGTGTGTGTGTGTGTGTGTGTGTGTTTTATCTGATCCGGATGGTTACTAATTTTTTTTTCTTTCTTCATTTTTGACCGGGAACACCATGGGTGTTACAAAGTTGACTAAATCATCCAAAATTCAATGAAAGTGGTGATTAGCAATTGTGTATGTTCAAATGTCTACTGTGAAGGATATCATAAAGCCTTAATGCAATCGAATGTCAAACAAAAAAGTTATGATTAATGAAAGTAGTATATCGGTTAGATTTGATCCGAAGACAACAGGAAGGTTAAGCAATGCTATGTCCTGAAAAACCACGCCCATCCAGGAAAATGTTTTTAGGGAGTTCCAGGCCCATGATAGGGGACGCATCTGTCGCCTAGCAACCTTTTTTTTTTTTTTTTACATTATTTGCATTTTATCACTTTGCTAATTATTATCTGACAAATCAAGGCTGTGTGTGCCTTAAAAAAACTTTAAGGCAAATAAAAGTATGTTTTTTTTTAAGAAGGACGCGATCATTTGTTCTTCCTTTGGTGTCGCGAGGGAGCAGCTGAGCAAGTGAGGTAGCGCGAAGGGAGCTATTTACCATTTCTGTCACGTTCTCCCGCCCCTCTCATCTGCAGGGGGGCAAACCCTAATCCGGTTGAGAGTACTGTTGGGCACGAGACCAATGGATTCAACTACATCCTCGTGTCAATCAACAAGATGAGGACAACCGGGGCGCAGAGAATTAAACATAGGGTGATATATAATGCCTATAAAGGAAGGGGGTTCAGCTAATAATAACTGGCTAGTTTGGCTGCCCTTTTAAAATAATAATACATTTTTAAATAATAGGCTATGTGCCTTTTTTACGATTAGTCTGCCCAAGAAAAATAACCGGAACCATTTTTTGCGTTTATGGTTTTGTTACCAATAATTATTAAACGAGAAAATTGTAGCCTATGTAGCCTCAACGTGAACCGTCATATTTAAACTTGGTAAATTAAAATGATGACTCATTGGCACATGTGAATTAAAGCCTTTGGCGACAGGACCGGGTCTGGTCCCCCTCCAGGGAGCTCATTAACAGGTGGCAGAGAGCCTGACAGCCCCCACCCCCCTGCAGCTCTGCGTCACTTCAGAGCAGTTGACTGTCTGCTGCCTGTATCAAACCAAGCCTGTAAATTCTTCATCCAATTCATAATTCAGGCAAGACTGCCGCCATTTCTTCTGTCTGGCCTCGGCTGTTATCTTATGTTCTGCAATAATTCCGTTCCAAAGTGTAAAATGTGTTCATATTATTTTTTAAATAAATAAAGAATGAGTGTCAGAAAGGAAGAGGTATCTCAGTCATTTGGCTTAATTGGCTAAAAATGGTAGTGAATATTTTTTATAATCTGACAAATGATCGTCTCGGTGTTGTATTTATGGTAATTCATGGGGTATGCCGCCTACCTGTTTGCAGCCAGCCTGGAGGATATCCATCCTCCCGGGATTTGTGTAACGATGTAGCCCCAGAAAAAAGATCCGTGAATCAGACCCACCGTCTCCGGATCCCAGTTGAACTTGGCTTTCTGAGACAACAGAAATACAAAACCAGTGAAAACTATGCAACGTTGACGTTGAATATTGTTAAATGACCTCTGGTGTAGGCCTACTGTTGTTTGCATTTAAGATTAAACGAAAAACCTGTATTATATGAATGTATTGATCTTTAGCCAGGCCTGTTTATTAAAAGGCCTGCAATGGTTTATTTCGATCAGATGACATTGATCTGTGCACGTTCATGCACGTGTTCTGCACTGTCAATGAAGAACTCGAAGGTGGGGGAAACTAAATATCTGGGTGTTGGATGAATAGCCTATAATAATATCTTTATTGGTTAATATTTGGCCTAAACACAAAGAAAACATTTCAATGCATCCAATAAACCTGAATACATATTTATTGTAATATAGCCTATAGGCTGTGGTGAATTAACCCATTTGGACATGTTTTTTAGTTTTTTTTAAAGATGTAAGCTATAAGTCTTAACTTTTTTGCTATATGCAAAAAAGACGCTGCAATAAACATCTGTAATAGAAATAACGTCAATTATTTGCATAGATTATTAGGGGGTTTCACACAGGATACATAAATGCATTTCTTTCTTTTCAAATGTAATCATATTAGGCCTAATCAAAGACTGAAACATAGAGTATTATCAGCTCCGACGCACTGACGAGATTTTAAAACATGCCCAACATGTTATCAAATCTTAGGCGTATTTAATGTTTTCTTACGCACAAATATCCACTTATATGTTGAAAGATCAGCCATGAATATTGGGGGACCATTTAATTGCATTGTTTTATTGATAATAAAACAATAGGCCTTACATATTGTTTATCTCATGTGTGGAGGAAATCATTTTGGTTTTCTTTCTTGATAAAATAAGAGTCAGGTGTTTTGAGGCACTCTACGTTGCTTTAACGTCAGGCTACCGATGCCCCACCTCTGTGATGATGATCTTGCCGTTCTCGTGGATGGTGCTGTTGTTGACCATGCCCACTATAGCCACGCCCAGGTTACACCGGATACCGAAGGAGATGCAGAAGCCCAGGCCGCTCATGATGGCGATGATGTATCGGCGGGGCAGACCGCAGCAGTTGCAGTCACACAGCGGGGGTTTCTTCTCCGCGGCCTCCCGGGGCCGGCCGTCCTCTGTCAGCTCGATCACCTCCCCAGTTTTCTGTTTCCTCTCCATCAACCTGCAACAGCCAGGTGAGGACAGTCTAGAAGTTCCCCTGATATATTATCATCATATGACATGACGCAACCCAAACATGTAAAACTGTTTTTTTGTTTTTCAAAGAGGGCCCTTTTTTATTTCGATTTTTTATGAATATTTCATTATGGACGTGATTGGGTGTTGTGTGTGTCTATCTGAGATTTATTTTTGTCAGTCAAGAAAAGGCAGAAGGCAGTTTTTCCATTCACCATAATAAATAAGCCTAGTGGAGAGAGGCCTTCTGTATTTCATAAGGAGCATAATCTGTAAGGTTCAGGGCAGATGACTCAAAAACACCTTAGCAACGACTTCAAGGAAAATACGTTGTTCTATTTAAATAAAGGGAAAAAACGAACAAACTTAGCCTGTACCAGGCGAACATATCTGTAGGCCTACCGCATTGCAGCATCCTCTCACTTTCACTCATTAGCATTCACGAGACCGAGCAGCAGCCAGCTTGCATACTGTGGGCATCCCTCTAAATCCCCCTTTTTCAATCTATGACAGTCGCCTTTTTTGGCCTCACAGTAGGCAACATTTACTAGATGCAAAATGATACAACAGTTTTTTGCAAACGGATACAAATAAAAAGTGCCAATATACAGGGTAAAACATTCTCGTTAAAATGCTTGCAAAATGCAATTGATCTATGAATTGCAATGAAAAAAAGGCCTAATGAAAATACGTGTAGAAAAAATGCGTTTATCTGAGGGATCATTGAATCCAAACAAGAGTGAAAATCATTAATAAATGATGGCCTGCTCCAGACTGTAAGGAATATAATATAGTACAGAGAGGCCCCTGAAATGCTTGAAGGACACATGGGAATCATCTAAATATAGTGCAGATGCAACAGCTGGTAACACCAGATAAATCCTTTCGATGTAAATATGTGATGGGTTTTTAATATTGATATGAGATCCGGCAACAGGGTTTACCATTAGCCTACATGAAATACACGACTGGAAGTGCCGTTTGTCCTGTTTAACCTGCTAACAGATAAAGGCTCTTCACCAGGATACACTGACTGCGTGCACGTTTTCATTTACGCTGTGCCATCTATGTTCACCCAAACCCCCTGCCATCACCATTCACATGCACACGAACGTGCACAGACGTACGCGCGCGCACACACATTTGGTTGCATAATTTTGTTCTCACTTGCAGAGGCGTGACTAGACATCCCTATAAGTTGTAAAACAGTTTTGGGTGACCTGCAGATCTACACACCACCTTGACTCGTGTTAGGCTGAAATCAAGCATGCAAACAATTTCTCTTAAACGCAAGGAAAATGAAAGGCGCCCACTGAGATGAAAAAATGCCCGCCCTTACCTGTGCATATGACCCAGGGTCTTCCCTGCAAATTCCTTCACCCCCGCCGTGGCTCTCATCTTTACTGACTCCATATCCAGTTTCTTTGTCTAGGCCTTTTTCTTTTAAATATTATTTTACTGCTTAATCTTCATGTTAAGGCGCAGGATGGCCGGCTGCAGCGGCTACGAGGAAAACAACAAACGAAGTTGTGATGCGCGTGAGTCCAGGGAGGCGACGATCCAAAAATACGAGTTTATTTTTTAACAATGAAACCGTAAATGCGAAAAAACAGGAGGAATTAAACAAGCCATGCGCCTTCCTCCACCACCAGCTCCTCTCCTGTCTGGCGTACAGTAGCCGCGCGAAGTGCCATCACGAGGAAAAAATGAGAGAAATTAATAGTCGGCGTCGTAGATCAGTTATGGATTTGTCCGGATTTTTTTTTTAAAAGAGAGAGAGAATGGGTAGACAAATTAAAAAGGCTCAAAGAAAGCAGAAGTGAGTGTTTGGAGTAGCTTCAATAAATCAAAGAGGGAGTGAGGCAGTATCGTGGCTCCTGTGGTGCGCGCAGGTTCATCTGACGTCGTGCTCAGCTACAGCAGCTCCGCGTGCAACATCTGGCCAGCTGCTCAGAACACATGCAGGCCAAAGAGACAATATTACATGCTAATGCATACATATAACTTACTGTATTAGTCATTTAATAAAACAATATAGGAAAGAGAGAAGACATGTTTTATAGTTCATTTTTATTTTTGCTTTATGTTGCATCTTAGTTGATTTGAGGTATGTGAAAGGGCCTTTAGTTATTTCGATTTCATTTTATCATTCGGATTTTATTAATAAAACGTATTTAGAACAAGTACAGTTAACCCAATATATGAAAGCTGCAGCTCTCAGGGCGGTGCTATGGAAACCAAATGAGTAGGAGTGAATACCTCCCACCCCCCAACAAGCTCCTCTTCTCAATGTAGGAATCTATCAATAATTCATAATAATTGTTATCCCCCAGACAACCACATCCTTCCACAGAAGCATGCATTAAATTTCGGAATCATTTCTAAAACATATTTATATTTTATGAGATTTTAAGGATATGTCATATGATATCCTTCTGCATTACTGTTTTAGCCGAATAGCAAAAGACTAAAAATGCCACAATAATGGTAATGACAATATTAATAAAATACATTAAAGTAATAGTAATACTCAACACGATTATGACATTTTGATATGCAATATAGCTTACATGTGCTTTTAGTGTAAAAAAAAGAAAAGAGAGGTGATCAGGGTCTCTTTTTCATTTGTTGGTGTGGGGCACCATCTGGTGGTCACACGCCAGCCTGAATCTTTGCCTTTATACTCATACAGGTATTTTTGCTAAATCATGTTTTTCATATAAATTCTGGTTCTTTTTTTTCTTTAAGTCACCCTCACCAAAAAGCATTTTTTGCCTTTTTTGCATCTCCTATGCTGCTTAGCAGAATAATGCATCTGCGACTTTGTAGGGGTGTTTCATTCATCTGGGCTCACCGCTTAAATCTCATCACGTTTAGGTAAACCGAAGATTTTTCACTTGCACACTACAACTGCATGCATGTGTGACCTGCCCCACC